CCCGCCACAACGCCCGGCTATTTTTTGGTTGCAGCCATTATTGTTGTTTGGCGGGCCCGGGCTGGATCCAAACCCGCCACCTTAGATGTATGTGGCTGGCGCCTTAGCCGCTTGAGCCACAGGCACCGAGCCAGTATCTGTATTTTGAATATCTATCATGTATAAAGTACTTTGAGAAATCATAAAAATTATGACCAGCCTTCATTACTAAACATGTACTGCCTGGTAGGCATAATCCCAAGTGCTTTACATACATTTAGCTCACGTAACATGATGTTTTCCAACGCTAGACCCTTAGATATTTCAGACTTGGCAATTAGATTTCATTTTTTTATCCCCTATCTGAAATAGGCCTGAATGGTGCAATCTTCACAGATTAGGAATAGTGAATGTTGGCCGATCTTTACTCAGCAGAGTAGCATTTTTGGATTTTAGACGTGTGTATTTAGTGACTAGTTCATCTTCAGTGCCTTCTCTCAACTGGAACCTGTGGTACCAATCATATATTTGTCATTTGCTCCATGAGGTGTGTTATGGCTTCTGAGACTCACAGAGTTCCTGTGTGTGATGCTTTCCCCGCCCCCAGCATTTCATTGATAGCCATGAGAGGGGATTTCTAAATAAGTGTGTGTGTTTGAAAATTAAAACTACTAACTGCCTTTTGAAAATACAGTATTTTATATTTAATGGACTGTTCTGTTTGCTGCTAAAATTATAAAATGAGAGGCATCAAAAACTATCTTGAGCACAGCCAGAGTCATTTGACCATCATTCTTTAGTTATTATAAAAAGGTTCCCCCCCCCTTCCTTAAGGAAATTCTCTCAAGTTATCTGTCACTCTAGCAGGTTTTTTTCTTTTTTTTAAAGCATCCCTCTTCCCCCTTCTCCTACCCCACCCCCACTAATGCTTTGTTCTGGCACAAATAAGGTCGAGTTCATTTTTAGATCTACCGCCTCCTCCTCCATCTCCCAGAGAGAACCTGTAGCAAGTGTCTATGACAAATTCTATTTGGAACAGGTTCCTTTGAGATCTTAATTTTACTCTGTGCCCCCACAGGTTTCAAACAAAGCCAGCTAAGAAGGATGGAGAAAGCTCCCTCAGAAGCTACTGGTTTTATGGAAACATTTATTTTCTCAGGTTCCAAGCCAATCAAAAGCTGGGCAAGAAGATTAACAAATCACCAGTCTCTTATATTAAGAAGCTAACTCAGAGAGTTATGATTTTCCATAGTATCTCTTACTCATTTTTGTTTTGCACCATTGATACTTTTAACCCTTCCAAATGTCTTAAGTGGTTCTTGGCCCAAACAGATGTAATTTCTAGTCAGGAGCTGGGTCACAGTGCCTTACATGCCTGGTGGGTTTCAATTTTTATGTAGGCTTCTTCATGCTTTCCTTTAGCTAGTAAATATGCTTTTCTTGCTTGCAGCTAGAACAAAAGTGCAAACTGTTGTTTTCCCATGGTGAAGCTCGTATTCATAATACATACTTAGATTTCATTCCAGCAAGCCAAAGGTGCTGTTATGGGGAAGCGACAGGATTGCCCTTTTGGGGTTAGTTTTCTCTTTGACTGATCTCAGTGTAAATATACATGGTTCAGTCTTGCAGAAATGAAAAGAATAGACTAGTAAGTGAATTTTCTAAACAAAAATCAAAATTGTTGTCATGCCTCTCATTGATTCTTTTTCCTATACTATTTTCCCTTTGAATTACTTCTGAAAAAACTTTATTTAGTTGAAATCTATATTGCTCTAAGAAAAAAAAACTTTTAAACAAATTCTGATTTTTTTCCCATCGAGTATGGCTATTTTACACAGAACCAAAAAAAAAAAGACTAATTCCAAAATTCACCCAGCATATTAAGAGATATATTTAGCATTATGCTTTTCTTGGATACAGAAGCTGCCTTGATATATAATAAAAACAGAATTTTTTGCATTTATCAAGTGATGGGCTTCCACATGTTTTGATATCAAGCATAGATCTTTTGAGTTATTTCGAGTTTTTGTCTTTAAGTTATATTTGCCAGACTATTTTTTGGTCAAGACTCCTTTTGGAAAGTTGTTAAATACCTCCTTTTACATAAACTTGAATATTATTTCTAGCTCATTTTATTAACGTTAGCTTCCTTTTTTTTTTTGGAGATAGAGTCTCTATTGCCCTGGCTAGAGTGTGTGGCATCAGCCTAGATCACAGCAACCTCAGACTCCTGGGTTCAAGCAGTCCTCCTGCATCATTCAGCCTCCTAGCCTATAGCTGGGACTGTAGATATCCACCACAGTGCCCAACTAATCTTTCTTTCTTTTTTTTTTTGAGACAGAGTTTCATTTTGTTGCCCTCAGTAGAGTACCGTTGTATCACAGCTCACAGCAACCTCAAACTCTTGGGCTCAAGCAATTCTCTTGCCTCAGCTTCCCAGGTAGCTGGGACTACAGACGCTGCCACAATGCCCAGCTACTTTTAGAGACGAAGTTTCACTCTGGCTCGGGCTGGTCTTGAACTTTTGAGCTCAGGCAATCCACCTGTCTTAGCTTCCCAGAGTGCTAGGATTTCAGGTGTGAGCCACTGCACCTGGGCTTAATCTATTTTTAGTGGAGACGAGGTTTTGCTTTTGCTCAGGCTGGTCTTGAACTTTGGGCTCAAGGCATCTTCCCTCCTAGGCTCCCCAGCGTGCTTATAGGCTTGAGCCACCAAGCCTGGCCCATTAACCTTAGTTTTGATTATTTCTCCCTGGAATATCCCCTTTAAGAGCTTATCCCTATCTCTAGTTACCCAGTATTCAAATCTGCTGAAATAGTTGGATTATACTAAATTTTCAGGAATATATATATAAGGTATTTGAACTCTTGTTAACTCCTAATTCATAGAAGGTTAGTGAAAGAAGTTTGTATTTTGCATTGAGATAAAGTGAAGCTGTTAGAAGCTGGAAAACATAAAACTTTTGTTTGTGTGAATAGTATTGAAGAAAAACAAACAAACAAAAAAAGATCATTTTACATACTCCCAAGTGATTTTTCAGAGATAGTAACAAGCTGCTCTTGATGCTTTAGCAATTTCAGTAACAAATTTTTATAGTCAAAAAGGGCTGTCCCTGTTTATCAGAAACCAAAACAGCCACCTAGTAATAGAGAAACAAAACTATCTCCAGATGGAAATAGGAGGGCTACTATATATTTGTCACTTGCCAAGAAAAGGTATCTCAGGTGGAAGTTGATTCTTTCCCACTGCCCTTCATTTAACATTTACCTTATGGCTATCTCCATCCTGCTGAGCTGAGCCTAAATCAATTCCTATCAACCTTGAGTTGTGGGGTTACCTTCCTGGGATGAGGAGTTCAGAGATCTGGTGCTGCATCATAATGGGAAGAAGAATTATAAAATTAAGGGCTGAGCTCTTTAGGGGTTATGTAACTGCTAAGAACTATGGGATTGTGATGCTTCACTGCTTCCAAGAAAAGCACTTTTTTTTTTAAGCAAGCAAATATGCCATGTGTATATTTACAATTACAATGCAATTAATGGATTCATAACATATATCCTGGATGTGGTGTGTTTTCTGCCAATGCCCACTCTCTGATGGGTTGCCATTGGTGTGCTTTTTGTCCTGAGTACTTATTGTTTTGCATCTTTGTCCTTTCAACTGTAGGATTTAGACAAGAGTCAAGAAGAGATCAAAAAGCATCACGCCAGCATCAGTGAGCTGAAAAAGAACTTCATGGAGTCTGTACCAGAACCACGGCCTAGCGAATGGGATAAACGTTTATCCACTCACTCTCCCTTCCGAACTCTTAACATCAATGGGCAAATCCCCACAGGAGAAGGAGTGAGTACTTTGTCCATCATGAACGACTGTGAGAAGGAATGGAATAGATGTTTTTGTATTTTAGTATTCTGTACTTGAGAGAAAGCTTAGAGCTGAGATTTGGCTTTGATGCCTGACAAATTCATTTTGGCTTTAAGGCATTCATGATCAAACACTTATTTTTAAAGTCATATAGGCTATTCTGTCCAATTATGGGAGCCATTTAGAATTGCCAGTAGACGAGTAGGCTCTGAGAACTGTCTCTGCAGCTGCATGCTTCTGGCTAATGTGTGTTTATGAATTGACCATAAGCCAGTGGAACTTTGTTTATATTTAAACTATGCCTTCAAGGACCAGAAAGTTTACTAAATTTAGTAAGGTCAAAATTGGAAGGGATTGCCATTTTTTAAAACTTTTCTTGAACATTTACATGACTTAGGAATAGCTGGGTGATTGCTCACAACTATGTACTGAACCTAAGCCAGAGAATACAGAACACCAAATATTATAATGCTTATAGTAGGAAAACAACTGATGTTTTATTTTATCTTTATATATAACATCAAACTTTTAATACACTGTTTTTGTAAGACAGTCACAATAATAGGAGGACAGAGGTATCTTTCAAGGGCTGTTCTTTTTCTGTCACTGTTATCATTACCTGTTTTGAAAATCCTCCATATAAGTAAGTAAGTCATTTGCATTTAATGAAAATGAAATTGAGACCAGGTGTGGTGGCTCACACCTGTAATCCTAGCACTCTGGGAGGCCAAGGTGGGAGGATTGTTTGAGCTCAGGAATTCAAGGGCAGCCTGAGCAAGAGCAAGACCCTGTCTCTACAAAAAATGGAAAAATTACCCAAGCATGGTGGCATGTGCCTGTAGTCCCACCTATTTAGGAGGCTGAGGCAGGAGGAATGGTTGAGCTTAGCAGTTTAAGGTTGCAGCAAACAACAATGACACCACTGCACTCTAGCCAGGGCAACAGAGTGAGAATATTTGTGTAAATCATTGTAATGACTCAGTGAGTGAGTTTGGTGACATAAAAGTCACATAGGCTAGTAGTACTAGACTCTAATTATAGTACTAATGACATAATTGATTGAGAGGGTCTAGCTAATGAAATCCTGACTGAATGATTCTGAATAAGTCATTTATCTTGTTGGGCCTGGTTTAGTAGATGATCTTTAAGGTCCTTTCTATCTCTAAAATTCCTTTAAGTCCGGGATTTCATGAAAAAATTCCTTATTGCTGTCTAGCCTAGTTAACTCTATTTACAAACTATAACTGTTATTTACTGGTTTTCTTTTTGACTCTGTGCAAGTGATAAAAGATGATCAACTACTTTGAAAAAGTTACTTGGTACTCTCTTAGACAAGGTTGGGTAAATTTGAATCAGTCTCCATTTCCAGAAAAGATCTTATGTCTTTTAATAGAAATCCTTCAGAAATCATCTCAGGGCCAGTTTTAGGAATGGTGATGTCATTCTCTGTATTTTAAAGAAATAAACTCAACTAGACCCATGGGAGTACTTGAACAATTTTACTTCTGGGCTATTATCCCTCTAATGAATGGTGGGCTACATAAGAACTATGCTGTGAGTGACTGATTATATTGGGATGATTCCCCTGTCTGGCATATCTTTCTTTTTCTTTAATAATCAGGATAATATTTCTGTTGTCTGGGGATACTTCTTCCACCTTTGACAGCGTTGTTGTTGCATTGCAAGGCAACTGAATGTTATATAATTTGTGTATGACCAGGTGAAGAAAACCTCTGTCCTTCCTTCGGAAAGAAAGGTTGGTGGGCCAGAGGTAAAGCTGCTGTTATGACTTGTGCTTCTCAATTGGAATTTGCTCTTGTCATGGCACCAAGCAAATAATCCCCCCCAGAACTGAACAACAGCTGCTAAATAATTTTTTTCTTTTGGCTATACTAGTAAACTGATCCCCACAACCTTTTGGCCTAACTCATAACACTTCCACTACTGCAGCTTTTGCAGCTTTGAATTTGCTTATTTGGGCGCATGGCTGGTTGAAAAGCTGCATGAAGATGTAAATATGTATTCGGAGAGAAAATGAATTTAATTATGCCCTATTCTTTTTATGTTGTCTTTCTTCTCCCCCTTTATTTTCTTTTAAAAATCATCATAATTTTGCATCCTTTCTTTTTCTTTTTCGCTGACCAGTCCCCTAGCTACTTTCTCCCTGATACATATCACTTAGGGGTGTGCAAAGAACCAGTGTTGAACTTCCAAACTGATCAGAGAAGCCTAGCTCAACTGAGAGAACTTAGAGCCAAGTTTTTCCTTTCATAGATAACATCTGTCTCGACTATGGACAGCAGAGTACAGAAAACTGTAGGGAAAAACTTCTCAATTGGACAATTGGGGGGGGAATCCTTTCCTTTAAAGTGTTAAAAATATTGCTTAATGTATAATCCTCCATAATGGTCATTATCATTGTTATTTTTAATCATGATTCAGGAAGAGAGTTTGAAGTCTTGTGGGGTTTTTTTCCCTTTTTTTTTTTTTTTTGGTAGACCCAGGAGGCACATTATAAACTTTTATACTTGTTTTTCTTCTACAATCTTTAAAATGTATAAGGTTAAGATTTGTATTTCCTTAAGCAAAAGCTACTTACCATACTGAATGAACTGTTGCAGTTTTTTAAGTCTATATGAAGAGATATAGGGATTACTTTTTATATTCTGCCATTGTATTTGTAATAAAAATAACTTTTCTGATGGCAAGAAGAATGCTTCATTATTGGCATTGCCAAATTGGTGATTGGCAGTACCAAAGCATGAAAAAATGACCCCAGATTCATTTGTGAATATCTTCAAAAGAGGAATAAATAATGTAACTGAGGAAAGCTAGTGATTCCTTGAACTTTCAGGAGTCCTAGTGTTCATTCATTCAATAAATTATCTATTGATTACCTTGCTGTATTTTATAAACTTTGCTAGGATAAAGTGCAAAAAATAGAACTAAAATCGAGAGCGTACAAAAGATCTTTCCAAATCCTTTGCACATCCCCAAGTATCATTTTTGAGCATTTTTCATCTGTCATTTTGTTCATCTTATTCTGTCTTTCTTGATCTTCTACCGTGAAAGCAGACACAGGAACGTGCTCTGTTAGTACAGGATGAAGAGAAAATTAAAAGGCAAGAGAGATCTACTGAAAGAGCCTTGCCCCAGCAAGAAAATGAAGAAATTCTTCCCAAGGTTTCTATTCCAATCCCTGAGGATCACAAGTCTCTCAAAAAGTGCCACCTCTACTTTAGTACTTTTCCATCTCCTCGCATTCCTTTCATGATGTCTTTTCTCGTGGTCCTTGTATTGGCTGTTTGGTGGTTGGTCTTTCTGTGATTGGAAAACAGGGTGCTTGTCTGAAATGTCAAAACTAAAATAACCGTTGAACTTTTGTCCTTGGATTTAACTGTATTATCTCCTGTATAATGCCCTCCAATCTTGATAGTTCACTGTCCTAGGGAAGCTCTTGTGATCATTTATCTGTCAATAAAATGTTACTCTTTGTAGAGTATGTATTGTGAGATACAAAGAAGTAACAGTGGATTGCCCAAGCCAGCTTTTCTGCACCAAAGTTTAAACAAATCAGACTTAAGCATATAGGCAGGTCGGTACTTTTCCTAAAAGCATTAACTCTTTTACGCTGCATGTTCTTACTGTTAACTGTTGCTATGTCCTACTATCCAGTGTCTCACACAAACCAGGATACTCTAGAAGCATTTGATGGAATATGTTCCTAATCTTCCATAGTCAATGTGTGGCATGGGTTCTGTAGTTTAAGAAAAAAATTCAACTTGCTAATCCTTCAAAAGCCTTAATATGATAATGTTTTCATCTACAAATTCATAACCACTCCTTTTCTTAGGATATCAAACTAGTATATACAAAAGCCTTTTCTGGAAAAGGGCTTTTGGTTTCTGTGGCCTTTTTATAACTATTTCTTACCTGTGCAGGGACAGATGACTTTATCCTGCCAAATATATTGAAGAGATCTTCCAAGGTGAAATGCCATCTTTTCATAAGTAGAATGTTGATATGGTTTAAGGAAAATGGTGCTGGTGCCCTTTTGCCTCCAGCCAGGGCTGAATTTCCCAGACTGCTTTACCTGTCTTTAAATGTCCTAAAATGCAGATTTATTCAAGATCTGTAGAAAAACAAACTCGTCTCTGAATTAAAATACTGTGTTACTTCTTTATGGCTTAGTACTTATATTGCTAGAAGCAATATGCAGCTATTATGATAAGCTTAAAATATACTTCGATATACTTTGTTTTCTTGATACACTGCAGACTTGTTTGTTCTTGTGCTTATGTTGAAATCAATTGTTTTTAATCAATGGCCTTGTGAGCTAAAGTTCTATTGTGACAAGTATGTGTCCTCTGTTTGCATGTTGATTTGTAAGACTTACCTGAAGTAAATACGAGTACTCTCTCTTTTCTGAACACAATGTGGATGCCTAACCTGTCATTTTTTACTTCAATATTAATGAAACTCTGCATGTAGCTTGCTTTTTATGGTACTTGAATGGCATTTGGTTAATGTCTCCAACATTTGTTCTGAAATCTGGGTTTTATAGGGTTATCAAACTGAGATGACCAATTTAGTTTTACTTTTCAATGCTTTTGAGTTGATAAACAGGACTTTTTGTTTTTGAGAAGACTTCTTAAAGCAAAAAAAAAAAAAAAAAGAGAGAGAGAGAGAGACAGAGACCAGTATTGTTCTATTGTCTCTGGAGACATTTTTTTCTGAAAATTGCTACTCTGTTATTATAGCTTTCCTCCAAAAATGGGAAAAGAAGCAAGGACTGGGTTACATTTAAAAGTCGGGTGACCTAGGCTGGGTGTGGTGGCTCACGTCTGTAATCCTAGCACTCTGGGAGGCCCAGACAGGTGGATTACTTGACCTCAAGAGTTTGAGACCAGCCTGAGCAAAAAGCAAGACCCCATCTCTACTAAAATAGAAAAACTGAGGCAAGAGGATTGCTTGAGCCCAGGAATTGGAGTTTGCTGTGAGCTAAGACACTACGGCACTCTACCCAGGGTGGCATATGGAGAATCTGTCAAAAAAAAAAAAAATCCAGTGTGTATATATAGCTTTTGTGTTACAGGCTTTATCTATTCATAACAAATATTTTGTAAATAAGCATATTTATTGACTCTCTTATAATAAGAAGAGAGACCTCAAATCAACCTGAAATATTGCAAAGCTGTGATCAGAAGTATTCCCTCTTTATCTATGAAATAGAGATACAAGAGCTTTCCTTAATGAAACAGCAAATGCTTGAATGTGAGCTATTTATTTATTTTTTACAAAAAGAAATAACTGGGCAGTGCCTATGGTTCAGTGAGTAGAGCGCCGGCCCCATATACCAAGGGTGGCGGTTTCAAACCTGGCCCTGGCCAAACTGCAACAAAAAATAGCTGGGCGTTGTGGCGGGCGCCTGTAGTCCCAGCTACTTGGGAGGCTGAGGCAAGAAAATCACCTAAGCCCAAGAGCTGGAGGTCGCTGTGAGCTGTGACGCCACAGCACTTTACTGAGGGTGACAAAGTGAGACTCTGTCTCTAAAAAAAAAAAAGAAAGAAAGAAATAACTAATGAAACTATCATTGCTTAGATTATTTTAAATCCTTTTTTTACAGATTAAAAAAGGAAATAATCTTAAATTTTATTTATGCTTTTGTAACAGATTGTATTTTCTGAATTTCTGGTTTTCATCCTTGTATGTAGCTTTTTATTATTATAAATTTCAATTTTGCTTCTCTCTGAATAGAATTATTCTAAATCCAAAAGTTTGGTAAGCCAGTGATAATTTTCAGGTGCAGCAAGAGTCTTCAGAGATCCTTACAGATGGCCAAAGGAGAGGCTATTTTTCTGTCAATGGGTAAGAATGGTTGAGAGGAGAAGGACCAAGCCTGGTACTGGACAAAGCTCAGGCTCAAAAGATACCCATCATTGTTACCAGGGGAAATATATTGGACATTCCAGCTTTATATAACTTAAAGTTAATGCTGCTGATGTTTGTAACATAAAGCTGTAAATAGTTTTCATTTCCTTCCCTTACCTCATTCCATCCTCAGTACTAGAGTCAGATCCAAGTAGGTATTTGCTTTACTGTGGTTCAACTTCTTAATAGTGATTGATAAGTAAAAAATAAGTTAGACTAACGGTATCAATATTGCCTTGGTTTTGCCACTATTCATTTCTAAGGTGGCTCCAAGAAGTTCACTTAAATATTTGGTGCCCAAATTTCCACCTAGTATTGTGGAGACAAACCTACCTCACGAGAATGAATCTTTAACATATTCCAGGAATGAGAGGCTCTGACTGTTGTTTATTTCTTAATCTTTTACTGGGCCAGAGGCAGTGGCTTACGCTTGTAATCCCTAGCACTCTGGGAGGCTCAAGTGGGTAGATTGCTTAAGCTCAGGAGTTGGAGACCAGTCTGAAGAAAGTTAGATCCCATCTCTACTAAACATAGAAAATCTGGGCTCGTCATCTGTGGCTCAAGCGGCTAAGGCGCCAATCACACACACGTGAGCTGGCGGGTTCAAATCCAGCCCGGGCCTGCCAAACAACAATCTTACAATGATGGCTGCAACCAAAAAATAGCCAGGCATTATGGCGGGCGCCTGTAGTCCCAGCTACTTGAGAGGCTAAGGCAGGAGATTCGCTTGAGCTCAGGAATTGGAGGTTGCTGTGAGCTGTGAGTGCCACAGCACTCTACCCAGGGTGACAGCTTGAGGCTCTATCTCAAAAAAAAAAAAAAGAAAAAGAAAATCTGAGG